CAATTTCAAAAGGACCCAAGACTCGTGTGGTCACTTAGAGACATTCCTCACGTAGGAGCTCGCAAGCCAAAAATTCGGTTTGTCGTCCTCTGGTCGTTCGCCGGTGGGCTTTAGTCGGCACTCAGTAATGAAGAATCGCGGATACCCATTAGCTGTGAACAGGGAGTGAAGATATTTTGCCTCCTCCTTTCCTCCTCATGGCTAGAATGTATTTGAACGCGTTGTAATAGAGTTCGGACACAAGGTGGTTTGTGTCCAATGGGATAGTTACTTCAGAATTGGAGGATGCTTCTTGTTGCCTTGCGATGTACCCTTGCTCGTATCCTCTCCTCAAAAATCCTCGTAATTTGTACATTCAGGGAATGCAATCGGTTGTTGATTTCTTCTTCCATCGTAAATTGGACGTCGGGGAATATTAAGTTTAGCAAAGCATTAAAGTCCTGGACGTCGTTCCTTTTAATTACAACAAATGTGTCGTCTACATACCTTGTCAAGAATTTTGGACAGTATGAATGGTGGACCCGTCGTTTGGGCTACTATAGGACCGTCTCGGCAATTAAGCCAGATAAGGGGGAGCCCATCAGTGTCCCCTACTTTTGTTCATAAACCTGCTCATTGAAGGTGAAGTATGTCCTGAGGCATAATCCCAAGAGTTATGTGATCTATTGTCGTTTAGGTTTTTGGGCATTTTTCCTGGAGATGCTCTTAAATTGTGTTGTTGGTAAGGCCAGTTGTAATGGAGGTGAATAAGGACATAAAGTCGAACGATATCATCACCTAGACTGCATCTATTTCTAGATGTCTGATTTTCCTCGGAAACTTTTCAGCTGACTTCACAGTCCATTCAAAGCCATCGGTGGTGAAATGGAACCACTGAGGGAGCCAATTTGATAGTCCAAATGTCCGGGTGCCATGTAAGGAGATGATGAGGCGCAGGAGCAGCCCTGGCTTGTAAACTTTTGGCAGACCGTAGAAACGCGCCATCGCGGAATCAGTGGCTTGTGGGATCATTGCCTCCTTTCGTTTAAGGGTCCCTGACTACTTCAACTTGTCAATCGGCCAGTTAATGCCGAAGTCTGCAGCTTCTGAAGGCTAATAGGAATATTCGTCCGCCAACAGACTTCGTAGTCTCGCCGTGTACTCATTTCTATGCTCGCTGCAGTGCGTTTTTGCCCGTTGGCATGACGTCCGGCTACAACTGCGTTTGTGGCGTGCCTCTTATGACGAAAGCCTGTACTATGGAAGCATTGCGTTGGTAGACTGGACCGTTCAAGACCAGGTGGACCTTAAATACGTTTGATTGCATAGAACACATACCCTCCCAACAAAAATCACACTTAAAACCATAAATTAAAATATGCCAGACAGGTATAGTAATATCTTTGATATTTGTGCAAACACACAAGCCAAACGTCAATGCTTTTAATTATGCGGTGAATATTATAAAGGGCAGGCAGTATGTGTTGATTCCGTCTGCTAACCTCTTCCAGTACAGTCTTATGATTCCAGGATATATTTGACCTTAACAAATTTGTTTTATTTTAAAAACCTACAGTCAGAGGGAACACGAACTCAGAATTTTTCCTCCTGCTGACTGGGCGCATGGGAGATGAAGTGGTGGAGTACAACGTAATGACCGACGATGGAGGAACCACCTCATTCATTTTCAATCCAGAGTATGGCAAACCTACGCCTGCCACCTTACTGCGTGTTGAATTCAGCGGTGTTTCCATTCTGAAGCCTTGGGGATTCGTACTTTGCCTACTTCCAGCCATCGCAATTAGAGCAAGTCTCTAAAAGCATTTGGAAGCCAGTGTCTTGTTTGTACTTTGAAAGCACGCAATACACGCTGATGGAACACAAACTCTTCTGCTTTTGCTATGTCAACTTAGATCATACCTGCCCATTTGGCAAATCTTATGAGGAAATGCTGCAATGGCAACAACATAAATTGCTAATTAACCCAGTAGACTGCTTGCACACACGATTAATTCTTAATCATCTAGTTTATTTCGAGGGTATTCCTAGACTACACTAAACTATGCGTTTCGTTAGATTAAGGGATTTCCAGAACGAG